ATTATTTATAATTATTATATGTAGAAATTTATTTTTATAAAAAATTTTTTTTTCCTATTACAGTGGTCCCTGTTTTTCGTAGTTCTCGGGAACCCCAAGTTTTCGGAAATCATGGGATATTTTTTATAAACATGGGCTCGCTAATCATAGGTTTGACTCGCGAAAGTAATTGCCCGGGGACGCGTAGCATGGTGGACCCGGGGGGCCTCCCCTACCCAGCCATTTGGGCTTGTTTAAAAGTGAGCAAAAGGTTTCCCCTCCATGTTACGAAATTTTTAATATTCCACTTTTTTTAGTGTTTGCAAGTACTAAAAAAGTACCATGGCCCCAAAAGGGGAAAGCTCCTAGTCCCAACCCTGTGGTAAAGAAGAGCTCACCACGAGGAGCTGCAGAGCTTCAGCAGGAACAGCAACAATCGCAGCTCGATCTTGTGCAAGGGGGAGGAAGAGAGATGGAAAGAAGGGCCTTCTTAGAATTAAAAGATTTTTGCTATTGGGGAAAGATGGAAAGCTTTTTGGAGAAACATCCCCCTGACAAGGTTGTTGCAAGCCAGTTGGAAAACTGTACAGTACAAAGTCTTGGGCCTTTTGGGGAAAGTTTTAAAAAGAGCGCCAAAAAACGAGCTCTCCCCACAGTTATTTTGTGAGACAGGATTCCGGACTCCAAAGTGGCCCCTTGGCAAAAGAAACAGAGAAGAGAAGCTACCCCCAAAAAAACAATTGGGGCCCGAGGGGTTTTATAAAGGGGGTTCCCCTTTCCCAAAATTTAAAAAAATCCAAACTCTCTCCTCCTCCCGTTCCCCTCACTAAAAGAATTTCCCAAAAAAAGTAAGTGTTAGCTGTTAATGTTTCATTCATTTTCCCCTTGTATTGTTTTATCATCTAGTTTCAGTAAAAAATTTTTGTTTTAATACTTTTGGGAGTCGGAAGGATTAAATTTTATTTACATTATTTCTTTTGAGGAAAAAAGATTCGAAAATCGTAGATTTTGATAATGTCAACTCCAGGAAGGATTAATAAAAAAAACGAGGGGAAAATGTAAATTATTATTATTATTTACTATTGTTATTACGTTTTTTTTATACAAAAATTTTTTTATTTTTTTTTTTTTTTATTTCACACCCGGGCCCATTCCCACCAAGGCAGGGTGGCCGAAAAGGAAAAAATTTCACCATCATTCACTCCTCACTGTCTTGCCCGAAGGGGTTTACACTAAATTTTTTAAACTGAACATTACACCCCTCCCTTTAATGCAGGGATGTATTTTCCCCCTCCAGGACTCAAGTCCGGCCCGCCGGTTTCCCCGAATCCCCTTTATAAATGTTACTTTGGCCACCTCCCAAAAGCCCTCAAGTATTTAAAAAAGATTTGCTCCATTCCTCCTATCAAAACCCCTCACGCATGCCTGCTGGAAGTCCAAGCCCCCCCCCAAAAACCTCCTTTACCCCCCCCTCCAACCCTTCCTGGCCACCCCTACCCCGCCTTCCCTTCCACTACAGACGATACACTTTGAAGTCATTCTGTTCCTCCATTCTCCTACATGTCCGAACCACCCCAACAACCCCTTCCTCCCCCTCTGGACAACGTTTTGGTAACCCGCACCTCCTCCTAACTCCAAATACGAATTTCTGCATTTTATTCAACCACACATTTCCCCCAAATGACATCTCCCCTGCCCCAGCCTTTTCCCGCTGAACATTCATCACCCCTGTTTACACCCCTTAAGAGCGTTGGTAAACTAACTCCAACATTCCCCTTTTGCCTCCCAAAGGACAAAGTTCTTTTTCTCCACAGGCCCCTAATGCCCACCACTCTTTTTCCCTCATCAATTTAGATTTTACTATTCTTTCATAGACCCCCTCCGCTGACAAAGTCCACTCCCCAAAATTTGAAAACGTTCACCTCCTCCATACTCCTCCCCCCAAACTAATTCAATCTTTTTCACCTAAACTTTTTGTTATCCCAAACCTTACTCTTTCCTGTATTCACCCTTTAAAATTTTTTCCGCCCCCCTACCAAATTTTATCCACCCTCTCTGAAAATTCTCTTTCAGTCTCCCCAAAAGCACAGTGTCACACAAAGAGCAGCTGTGACAACTCCCACTTTGTGTGTGATTCTTTATCTTTTTAAATCCCCGCCCCTTGCCAAGACCTCGCATTTACTTCCTTACAACCCCACTATAAAATTTAAAACAAACCCCGGTAATCAAACCCTCCTTGTTAAGGCTACTTTTTCTGGGAAAAAATTTTCCCCCTTTTCCCACATACTCTAACTTGACCTCCATCCTCGTAAAACTCTTTATGCTTTCAACCTACCTCCTACACCTACACTTTCAACATCTGCCACATTGCCCCCCTACCACCCGTCATCGCCTTTTCCAAAACCCTAAATGCCCAAAACCTCTTTAGCCTTTTCTAAAAACGTTCCCTTATATGTTTCACTGTAAACCCTGGTCCCACACCCCCCTACCTTTTCCCAAAGCCCCCTTGTTCTTCTATCCTATTTTTTTCCCTCTTACTCTTAATTCTTTCAATATAACTCTACCATAACTTTACCAGGGACACTCAAAAGACTTATCCCCTATAAATTTTTTCACTCTTTTTATCCCCTTTGCCCCTTTATACAAAGGGAACCATGCTCCTCTGCCATCCCCAGGTATTTTCCCTCTTCCTAATTTATTAATAATTGCACCAACCCCCCAAAACTATATCCCCACCCGCTTTTAAATTTCTATCTTTATCCCCTCAATCCCGGCTGCCTTACCCCCTTTTATTTTACCCACCCTCACGAATTCCCCACATCACAACTGGGTCTTCCTCACTCCTACAAGGTTTTTTCCCCTTGCCCTATACACGAAATCACAGCTTCCCCACTTCATCAAATTTTAAAAAATTCCTCAAAAAAAATTCCTTCCCTCTTCCCAATACCTCAACTTCCATTTTAAAAACTTCCTCTTATTTTTTAATGACAAAACCATTTGTTTTGGCTTTTTAATTGTTAAAATCATCCAAAACTTTTTTATTTTCACAAAATTTTTTGTAACATCCACCCACTCTCTATTTGCTCTCTTTTTTTCTTGCTTCACCCCTCCTTAACTTCTTCTTTTTTCCCCAAAACTCTTCCCCCCTTTCTCACTCTATTTGTAAAAATTCTCATATGTAAAATTTTTCTCCCTTATACTCTCTTTACATCATCATTCCCCCAATCCTCCTCTTCCCTCCTCACCCATTTTCCCGTAACCCCAAACCTGTGAACACTCTAAACTACATTTTTTAAACTACCCCTCCCCTTCGCCCCCTTGCCTAGCTTTATTTGCCCCCTTTTTCCAATGCTGTTTTTATCTTCCCTAACTGCCTCCTCTTTTTTTTTTAAAACCTTTACCCTCTTTCCCCGATGCTTCTATTCTCCTTGTATCCCATTACCTTTTTCTCTAGTGTAGCTACAACTGAAAGTGATCTGATAATCTGTGCCCCTCTATAAAAAGTAATCCCGAAGACTCAACAGTTTTTTCACCCAATCATAAACCAACAAAAAACGTCATTTTCGCCCTACTCATATCGTGTATACTTATTTTTTCCTTTTTTCTTAAAATATGTATTTCCTTAACTAAACCCCTTTCTATACAAAATTCAATCAAAGGGGTCCCTATCATTTAACCTGGCACCCCAACTTACCCACCACACCCTCTCTAAAAATTTCTCCTCTTTAGCATTCAAGTCCCACCACAATTACTCTCTCCTTTGGGTTTAAAAACTCCCCTTCTTTATAAATCTCCCCAAAAACTCTCTCTTTTCCCCGCTTCCCCTCTTCTCCAGGTGCATACGCTTTTTGCCCACTTTCCGATCCAACCTTTTCTTTTTCCCCTAATTTTTGAATTTACAATTCAATTCTCTTTTTTCCTTCCTTATTTTATTATTTTTATTTTTATTATTTCATTATCATTATTTTATATAAATTATTTTTAATTTTTATTACACAAAAAATATAAGTTTACTGTTATTCCATTGCAATAATTGTATAAATATGTCAAACCCTTCACGAAATGCATATGGAAATGGACATGACGTATTTGTTTACCTTTAAAAACCAAGCAATGAACCATTTCCCTAGGTTTTAGCTCAAATTTTAAGGGACTTTTGTCTGAAAGCATCAAAATTTTAATATTTCTGTAAAATATCTTCCATTTTATCCTTGAGACCAAAAAAACGAGAATACAACCATAAAAACCCAAAAAAAAAACACTAAGGGTGGAATTGTGAGAGGTGAGCTCCATTTTTTGCTTGATTTCTTTATTATTTTTATTATTATTATTTTATTATTTTATTATTTTTATTATTATTATTTTCTTATTTTATCATTATTATTATATAACAATTTGTAAATTTTTTTTACACAAAAAATATAAGATTTACTGGACGTCACCCCTCAAGGAAGGTTTCCCTTTATTTTTGGTAGGGGTCTTTATTTAGGGATTGGGTCTGTGTCCGTTCCCCCAATTAACCCGAATGCCCCCCACATCCCCCCCAGGCCTGTATAAAACCTTCGGGTTTTTGCGCTTCCCCTTGATTTAATAAAAATAAAAATACTGTGAGTCTTTTTTTACACTGAAACAAACCAAACAGGGGACCTTCTCCAGGTTGAGCCTATTTCAAGGTACTTTTTTTTCATGAAAGCAATCAAAAACATATCATTTCTGTAATTTATTTCATTTATCAAATGAACCAAAAAAACGAGAAAACAAAATAAAAAAACCCTTCAAAATTAACTAAGGGGTGGCAATTGCTGAGAAGTGAACTCCTTATTTATCTAGATTTTTTTCATTTTTTTTTGATGTTAAGAAGCATCTTTTCCCCATACATTGCCCAAGTTTCAATAAATAGTCCAACAAACAAATGAGAACAAATTTTGAGATAAAAGCAAGAGCCCCCCAGGTCAAGGAACCGCCTTTTGGGTCTGCTCACTTCTGGAAAAATTTTTTCGCGTATGGAAGCAAAAAATCGACCCATCGACTGCTCATATTTGGAAAAACTCGCACGTGGACACGCTCGCAAGTAGAGGTTCCACTGTACTCTGCATAACAAGCGGCTTTCTATATAGTAGTATGTCATTGATGTCAGCTAGGCCTGTATACCTTGTACATGTATGTGTAGTAAATAAAAACATTATTATTATTGACATTATTATTATTATTGTTATTATTATTATTATTATATTATTTTCTCAGTTGTTTGTTGGGTTATCTTATTCAAACTTGCGCAATGTATGATGGAAAGATACTTCTTCACGTACACCAAAAATGAAAGAAATCAGACCATAAATAGCGGAGTTCACTTCTCAGCCATTAGCGGCCTCTTAGCGGTATATTTTTGTATGGCTGTTATGGTTATATTCTCATTTTTTCAGTCTCATTTGATAGAATGAAAGATATATTACAGATATAGATATGATTTTGATTGCTTTCATGACGAAAAGTACCTTGAAATTGCACTCACAGTAGCGAAAATGTTCTACTCTTTAGCGAAGCTCAAGAGTAAACAAATGACGTCACCGTCCAATACTGTCCACCTGCCAGTCTAAATTCCAGTACGAAGTCAAGAATGGCTTGACATTATTTATACAATTATTACAATAATGCAGCAGTCTGCATAACAGTAAATCTTCTATTTTTTTGTGAATAAAAATTCCAAATGGTAAGCAAGAGTAATATAAGAGGGGCCTGGAGCTGTGACTAATGAAAAGAGAAAATGTTATTTTAGTGCCAGGAATGTCTGCATTGTTTATTCAGGACCCTATTTTGAAATTGGCATCTGTTGAAACTTGTGTGAAATCGGCCAAATTGCCAATTTCTGACCACTTTATTGGGTAGTTAAAATAAGTGAATGGGTGGTTTCTTGTACTCAGTTGACAGACTAGACATAAATAAGTTTATTCAGGTATACACAAATACAGTTACATAGATTATCATACATAGCAGTGTATGTATAGAGAACCTAGGATAACCCAGAAGTCAGACAAAGTGACTTATTTCCAGTACCTGGCTTGGGCTTGCCAAATATGATTTTTGGTAAATATTTTTTTTTCTCAGTTGTTTGTTGGGCTATCTCATTGAAACTTGGGCAATGTATGATGGAAAGATGCTTCTTAACGTACAACAAAAATAAAAAAGATGATAAATAAGGGAGTTAACTTCTCAGCCATTAGCCGCCTCTTTGCAGTATATTTTCGTATAGTTTTTATGGTTGTATTCTCAATTTTTTGGACTCATTTGATAGAATGGAAGATATATTACAGAAATAGACATGATTTTGATTGCTTTCATGACGAAAAGTACTTTGAAATTGAGCTCAAAGTAGCGGAAATGTTCGATTTTTGCCGATGTTCAATGAACTGTGTAAGTCAAGTTGGTTAATTTTATTAAGTGTATTCTAACCTAATCACTCTGTAATTCGGCAAACTCAGTAATCCGGCACATTACAGGTCCCAATGATGCCGGATTTGTGATGGAGGACCTGTATTACAAATAGTAGGAGTCTAAGAAATAAGATAGATGAGCTAAGATTACTTGCAAATGTAGGTAATATTTTCCATGGGGAAGTGGAACATAATTCTTCTTCCGTAAGCCATGCGTGTTGTAAGAGGCGACTAAAATGCCGGGAGCAAGGGGCTAGTAACCCCTTCTCCCGTATAAATTACTAAATTTAAAAAGAGAAACTTTTGTTTTTCTTTTTGGGCCACCCTGCCTCGGTGGGATACGGCCGGTTTGTTGAAAGAAGAAGAAGTAGGTAATATAGATATTATTGGTATAAGAGAGACCTGGTTCAACCTGAAAGATAGAGAAATGCCTTCTGAATGCAACATACAGGGTTATAAACTATTCCACACTGACAGGGTCAACAGGAAGGGTGGTGGTGTGGCAATGTATGTCAGAGAAAATTTAAATTGTTGTCTTAGACATGATATAAGATTAGAAACATTGAACACAGAATCTGTTTGGCTACAGTTTCTCAAGGGACATGACAAATTAATTTTGGGTGTGATTTATAGGCCCCCAAACCTTGATAGGGACGAAATTCATAAGGAATCTAGATATGAAAATGTTGTTATAATGGGAGATTTTAACTTTAGACAAATTTATTGAAACAATATGACAGGAAATCTCGAGTCTAGTGACTTTCTTGATACGGTTCAGGATTGCTTTTTAGAACAGGTTGTGACAGAACCAACTAAAGGAAACAATCTGCTTGACTTGGTTTTTGCCAACAAAGATTCACTAATTAATAATCTTGAGGTTAATGATGAGCTTGGGGAAAGTGATCACAAATCACTTAGTTTTAATATATCATGGAATTACCCAGATAACTGCAATCAAATCTCTGTCCCAGATTTTCGCTTGGCTGGCTTCATGGGACTGAAAAATTACATGGGTGGGCTAAATTGGGATGTCCTGACTATGGGTCAGGTAGGTGATCTTGGTTGCCAATATGTTTTTCAGAGCATACTTCCAGCTGCCCAGACAACTTTTGTTCCGAGTAGGGAAATTAGATCTAACAAAAATGATCCCAAATGGATGAACAATAGATTAAAACATCTCATTGGTCAAAAAGAGAGGCATATATAGGCATATCAAAAGAGGGGATGGGCAGTTAAGAAATCAATATATTCAATTAAAGATAGAAATAAAGAAAGGAATAAGAAAAGCCAAATGGGATTATGAGGCTAAGGTCGCAAGGGATTCAAAGATTAACCCTAAAGGATTCTTTCAGGTATACAGAAGTAAGATTAGGGACAAGATTGGCCCACTTAAGAGTAACTGGTCAGATCACTGACAGTGATAAGGATATGTGTGAAATTCTAAATACTTACTTCCTCTCAGTTTTCACCCAGGAAAATACTAGAGATATTCCTGAAATAATAGATTATGTAGAACAGGATGATAATAAACTATGTACGATTGCGGTAACTAGTGACATGGTCCTCAGACAAATAGAGAAACTACAACCTAACAAATCCCTAGGCCCTGATGAACTGTTTGCAAGGGTGTTAAAGGAATGTAAAGAGGAACTTAGCATACCTTTGGCTAATCTTTTTAACATATCACTACAAACTGGCATAGTGCCTGATAAGTGGAAAATGGCAAATGTAATACCTATTTACAAGGCAGGTGACAGGTCCTTGGCTACGAACTATTGACCAATAAGCCTTACCTCCATAGTGGGAAAATTTATGGAATCAATAATTGTCAAAGCAATTCGTAGCCATCTTGACAGACACAGATTAATTAATGAATCTCAACACGGTTTTACAAAAGGGCGCTCCTGTCTTACGAATTTACTAACTTTTTTCACTAAGGTGTTTGAGGAGGTAGATCATGGTAATGAATATGATATTGTGTATATGGACTTCAGTAAGGCTTTCTATAGAGTTCCACACCAGAGGCTATTGAGGAAACTTAAGGCACACAGAATAGGAGGAGAAATTTTTTCCTGGGTAGAGGCATGGCTGACAAACAGACAGCAAAGAATTTGCATAAATGGGGAGAAATCAGAATGGGGGTACGTCACAAGCGGTGTTCCTCAGGGGTCAGTGTTGGGCCCGTTGTTGTTCACAATTTACATAAACGACATAGATGAGGGAATAAATAGCGACATAAGCAAATTTGCTGATGACACCAAAATAGGCCGTCCAATTCATTCTAATGAGGACACTAGAGCACTCCAGGATGATTTGAATAGACTGATGCAATGGTCGGAGAAGTGGCAGATGCAGTTTAATATTGACAAATGCAAAGTTCTAAATGTTGGACAGGTAAATAACCATGCCACATATAAACTAAATAATGTAGATCTTAATACTACTAATTGTGAAAAGGATTTCGGAGTTCTGGTTAGCAGTAATTTAAAACCAAGACAACAGTGCATTAGTGTTCTCAATAAAGCTAACAGAATTCTTGGCTTATCTAGAAGTATAAATAATAGAAGTCCTCAGCTTGTTCTTCAACTCTATATATCCTTGGTTAGGCCTCATTTAGACTATGCTACTCAGTTCTGGTCACCGTATTACAGAATGGATATAAATGCTCTGGAAAACGTGCAGAGGAGGATGACAAAGATGATCCCATGTATCAGAAATCTTCCCTATGAGGATAGACTGAGGGCCCTGAATCTGCACTCTCTCTCAAGGCATAGAATTAGGGGGAATATGGTCGAGGTGTATAAATGGAAAACAGGAATAAATAAAGGGGATGTAAATAGCGTGCTGAAAATTTCCAGCCAAGACAGGACTCGCAGCAATGGTTTCAAGTTGGAAAAGTTCAGATTCAGAAAGGATATAGGAAAGCACTATTTTGGTAATAGAGTTGTGGATGAGTGGAACAAACTCCCGAGTACAGTTATTCAGGCTAAAACATTGTGTAGTTTTAAAAATAGGTTAGATAAATACATGAGTGGGTGTGGGTGGGTGTGAGTTGGACCTGACTAGCTTGTGCTGCTGGATCTGGTACAGTGCTCCATCCTTGAGTGGAGATGATCAGACTGGATGAGTCATTGGGCTAATCCGGGGGGGGGGTCATTGGTCTAATCCGGGGGGGGGGGTCATTGGTCTAATCCGGGGGGGACATGGACCTGCTCCGCATGGGTCAGTAGGCCTGTTGCAGTGTTCCTTCTTTCTTATGTACTTATGTTGTTTTCACTGCTTAAGACTACAAATGTAACAGAAATAATAGCATTTCTTACCTTAAATTGTGGGTGCTGGTGTTTGTGGATGATTGTGAAGAGAGTGAAGAGTTATGTTGTGGTCCTACTGGGCTGAGGTGGATGGTAGAGGATCTGGTACTGAAGTTGATGGTTGTACTGGAGTGTCTAACTTTAAGTCATTCAGTCAGTCAGTCAAGTCACTCAGTAAGTCCATCAAGTCACTCAATAAGTCAGTCAAGTCACTCAGAAAGTCCATCAAGTCACTCAGTAAGTCCATCAAGTTATTCAGTAAGTCAGTCAAGTCATTCAGTCAGTCAAGTCACTCAGTAAGTCAGTCAAGTCACTCAGTAGTCAGTCAAATTGTTCAGTAAGTCAGTCAAGTCACTCAGTAAGTCAGTAAAGCCACTCAGTAAGTCAGTCAAGTCATTCAGTAAGTCAGTCAAGTCATTCAGTAAGTCAGTCAAGTCATTCAGTAAGTCAGTCAAGTCACTCAGTAAATCAGTCAAGTCACTCAGTAAGTCAGTCAAGTCACTCTGAGAGTAAACCAGTCAGTCAAGTCACTCAGTAAGTCAGTCAAGTGACTCAATAAGTCAGTCATGTCACTCAGTAAGTCAGTAAAGTCACTCAGTATATAAGTCATTCAGTAAGTCAGTCAAGTCACTCAGTAAGTCAGTAAAGTCACTCAGTAAGTCAGTAAAGTCATTCAGTAAGTCAGTCAAGTCGCTCAGTAAGTCAGTCAAGTCATTCAGTCAGTTCAGTCAGTCAGTTCAGTCAGTCAGTCATTCAGTAAGTCAGTCATTCAGTAAGTCGGTCATTCAGTAAGTCAAGCAGTCAATTAGTAAGTCAGTCATTCAGTCAGTCACACAAACTCATGTTTACCTCTTTTTCCGTGTACAAAGTAACACTTCATCACGGCTACAGGTTATCTCTTGTCTAATACCTTTGTTTCTTTGTTAATTTTAAGACTTAAGTGCTTATACCTCTTCATGCCACTTTCAGCAACACTGGTATGGCTACTGGGTGTCATGACTGATTGCTTGGCAGATACCAGATAAAGTAATTAAAATATCATAACATAATTCACAAACACAGCTGCCTTGTAGCAGAGAAAGACTGGACACTATGAGTTACGAATGCTGGGATGGTGGGGTGGTGTCCGGGAGTGGTTGGGGATGGTGGGAGGGCTCCCCAGCTGTTCTACAACAAGGCAGCCGTTTGAGCAAAGGAGAATTTTTTTTCCTTCCCACAAATTGAACAGTGTTAAATTAATTATACGACGTGTTACATAAAATTGTGCCGCAATTCTTCAATTATGCAATACTCAAATTGTGCCAAATAAACTCATGCTAAATGATGGTCTACTGTATATCTTCCAATCTATCAAATGAGACCAAAAAAAACGAGAATACAACCAAAAAACCCATACAAAAATATGCTGCTAATGGGAGGTCATCAGCTGAGAAGTGAACTCCGTTATTTACGGCCCGATTTCTTTCATTTTTGGTGTACATTGAAGAGCACCTTTCCATCATACATTGCCCAAGTTTCAATAAGATAGTCAAACAAACAACTGAGATCCAATTCCCTAGATCAAGAGCAAGAGCCCCTCACAAGCATCAAGGAACCTCCCTTGAGGCCCGCTCACATCTGGAAATTTCACTCACATCTGGAAGCAAAAAACTGACTGAGTGACTGCTCGTATCTGGAAAAACTCGCACATGGATGCACTCGTAAGTAGAGGTTCCACTGTATTGTATGTGTTTTGCATTCATTTTACTTTTTTATCTGTTTTTTATGCCTAACTGCATTGAGCATTTTTTTTTTTTTCAACAAGTCGGCCGTCTCCCACCGAGGCAGGGTGACCCAAAAAAAGAAAGAAAATCCCCAAAAAGAAAATACTTTCATCATCATTCAACACTTTCACCACACTCACACATAATCACTGTTTTTGCAGAGGTGCTCAGAATACAACAGTTTAGAAGCATATACGTATAAAGATACACAACATATCCCTCCAAACTGCCAATATCACAAACTCCTCCTTTAAAGTGCAGGCATTGTACTTCCCATTTCCAGGACTCAAGTCCGACTATATGAAAATAACCGGTTTCCCTGAATCCCTTCACTAAATATTACCCTGCTCACACTCCAACAGATCGTCAGGTCCCAAGCACCATTCGTCTCCATTCACTCCTATCTAACACGCCACGAAACACTTGCTGGAAGTCCAAGCCCCTCGCCCACAAAACCTCCTTTACCCCCTCTCTCCAACCCTTTCGAGGACAACCCCTACCTCGCCTTCCTTCCCCTATAGATTTATATGCTTTCCATGTCATTCTACTTTGATCCATTCTCTCTAAATGACCAAACCACCTCAAAAACCCCCTCTTCTGCTCTCTGACTAATACTTTTATTAACTCCACACCTTTTCCTAATTTCCACACTCCGATTTTCTGCAAAATATTTACACCACACATTGCCCTTAGACAGGACATCTCCACTGCCTCCAACCGTCTCCTCGCTGCTGCATTTACCACCCAAGCTTCACACCCATAATAAGAGTGTTGGTACTACTATACTTTCATACATTCCCTTCTTTTGCCTCCATAGATAACGTTTTTTGACCCCACATATACCTCAATGAACCACTCACCTTTTTTCCCTCATCAATTCTATGTTTAAAACCTCATCCTTCATAAATCCATCCGCCGACACGTCAACTCCCAAGTATCTGAAAACATTCACTTCTTCCATACTCCTCCCCCCCCAATTTGATACCCAAATTTTTCTTTATCTAAATCATTTGATACCCTCATCACCTTACTCTTTTCTATGTTTCACTTTCAACTTCTACCTTTCACACATTCCCCAAACTCCACTAACCTTTGCAATTTTTCTTTAGAATCTCCCATAAGCACAGTATCATCAGCAAAAAAAGTAACTTTTTGTTAATTCCCATTTTGAATTTGGATTCCCCATAATTTAATCCCACCCCTCCCCCAAACACCCTGCATTTACTTCTTTTACAACCCATCTATAAATATATTAAACAACCATGGTGACATTACACATCCCTGTCTAAGACCTATTTTTACAGGGAATAGTCTCCCTCTCTTCTACACACCCTAACCTGAGCCTCACTATCCTCATAAAAACTCTTTAACAGCATTTAGTAACTTACACCTATTCCATATACTTGCGACATTTGCCACTTTGGGCTCCCTATCCACTCTATCATATGCCTTTTCTAAATCCATAAATGCAAAAAAAATTTCCCCTCCTTCATCTAAATACTGTTCACATATATGCTTCAATGTAAACACTTGATCTACACATCCCCTACCCACCTGAAAACCTCCTTGCTCATCCGCAATCCTACATTCTGTCTTACCTCTAATTCTTTCAATTATAACCCTACCGTACACTTTTTCCTGGGATACCATAAAAAATTTTTCCTCTATAATTTTACAATCTCTTTTGTCCCCTTTTCCTTTATATAAAGGGACTATACATGCTCTTCGCCAATCCCTAGGTACCCTTTCCCCCCTTTCATACATTTTTTAAACAAAAGTACAAACCACTCCAACACTATAAACCCCCCCCGCTTTTAACATTTCTGTCATGATCCCATCAGTTCCAGCTGCTTTACCCCTTTCATTCTACGTAATGCCTCACGTACCTCCACCACACTTACATTCTGCTCTTCTTCACTCCTAAAAGATGGTATACCCCCTGGCCAGTGCATGAAATTACCGCCTCCTTTTTTCCTCAACATTTAAAAGTTCCTCAAAATATTCTTGCCATCTACCTAATACCTCCCTCTCCCCATCTACTAACTCCCCTACTCTGTTTTTAACTGACAAATCCATACTTTCCCTAGGCTTTCTTAACTTGTTTAACTCAATCCAAAATTTTTTCTTATTTTCATTAAAATTTCTTGACAGTGCCTCTCCCACTCTATCATCTGCACCTAACATATGATAATACAAATATGTTACCAAGTGTTTTAGATGCATTCAATAATGAGAAGAGTGCTCTTTTTCCATCCACCAATGATTTTTGCTTATCACACGGAGTTGGAAATTTAAGAGCTGTACAAACTTTGCCCTCTTGTATTTGAAATAGAAAATTGTCGTTTTCAGTCATGAATAATGTGTACAGTGTATCTGAAATAGAAAATTATCTAACTTATATTTGGCAGAGCACAGACTGGAGATGTATTGTACCAATTGCTTGATAGGAGACTTTGGAATAATAAACGTGGAAAAACAGAATGTAAGAGAAGTAGTTCTCTGATATTATTTACATTTTCAGTATAACCTGCATGTCTGAGATGACATTACAAAGTACATACTAATACCCTGGCCACCTTTTACAACATATTTTTCTTGCCTCAATCTTCTTGGAATTTCCACTTTTTATATTTCTAAACATTCTCACAGCTTCTGCACGAAACAGAATAAACAAAACCTATCAGTGCTTTAAGAGAGTTCTTCATCTGTTTTTATTTTAACATGCTGCAATTTTATTCTTAAAAACCACTTATGAAAGGTAAGGTACAACCAACCTATTCTCATGTTCTTTAACCCTTTGACTGTTTCGGTCGTATATATACGTCTTACACGCCACTGTTTCGGACGTATTTATACGTGTAAATTCTAGCGACTTCAAATCAAGCAGGAGAAAGCTGGTAGGCATACATGAGAGAGAATGGGTCTGAGTGGTGGGAGTGCACCCTGTGAAAAAAATCTGAGACTCAGTGGTGCATTGTGGGAACGCCATCTTGGTATTCCATTTTCACCATGCCTCGTGGCAAGAAGTACCTCACTCCTCGGCGGATTGGAGGTCTTTTGTTCCCAAGTGATAGCTCTAACAGCGATGGAAGTGTCAGTGAAAGTGAATTCCATGGTTTTCAAGTGGGTGTGACCGAAAACAGTGCCCAGGATAACATAATTAGTGATGAAAACCCAGATGACCCACGACCTTCCACCTCCGGTGCTGGGCCGGCTCGTTCACGTTCACCTGTACCAGGATAAAAGAGGAACCTATTTGCCCGTGTACAAGACTCAGATGTGAGCAGTGAAAGCGACAGTGATAGTGATTTCAAAGCTACTGAAAGCAGTTATAGCTGTGACAGTGAGGGTGAATATTCCCCAGTGAAGTGGCAGTATATATGCCATAGCATGGGGTCTGGTAGTGTGTCATATGCTGTTCCAAGCAGGAGGAGTAAATCTTGGAGCACATCTCATGGCCCTACACCATGACCTGATAGTGAAGGTGATGATAGTGTTACGATGGGTATGAATGATGTGAGTGAGTCAGCAGGTGGTGGTGGTGATAGTGATGGTGGCATGAGTCATGTGGCACCAGCAGCGGGCCACGCTACTACCGAAGCTGCTGACTCTGCACAACTACAACCAGCTTCACCCAACCCCACAACAACCACAACCACGTTTCAATATCCAGAACCCACCAGCAGACCGTATCTGGGATTGGCAGCAAGGTGACAATTTTATTCCCAATCCCCATGACTTTGATGAAACACAAATTGGAATAGGGCCATTGTGTACACTTGGGAACAATGCCACTGAACCAGAATGCTTTCAGTTATTCTTTGATGAACCCCTGATGGACATTATTGTCAGGGAAACCAACACATACTATGAGCACACCATGGCAAATACAATTCTCTCACCAAGATCATGGCTACACCAGTGGAAGGACACAACTGTGGCAGTGATGTACCTGTTCTTTGCCACAATAATGCTTATGCCACATGTGTATAAGCACACTGTCACCACATACTGGTCAACAGAATGCCTGATTTCAACGCTAGGTTTTAGTGACATTATAGGTGTGAATCGTTTTTTGATACTGTTACGTATGCTACACTTTTCAGACAAAACAAGGCCTGACAGAAGCGACAGGTTATATAAGATCAGAAATGTGTTTAAGTACCTGAAACAAAAGTGTTCCATGTATTTTTATCCCTTCAGGAAGCTTGTTATTGATGAGTCTTTGATTTTATTCAAAGGAAGATTCTCATTGAAGCAGCACATACCAAGCAAGAGGAAATGCTTTGGTATAAAGTTATTTGTACTGTGTGATTGCAAAAGTGGTCTCATTTTGGATATCACTGTGTACACTGGCAATAATACATTGAGAGATACCAAGAAGTTACTGGGTATCTCTGGTGATGTGGTTCGAACAATGATGGAACCATATCTTGGTAAGGGGCATATATTATATACAGTGGTCCCTCAATAATCGTCTGGCCTGAAAGTCGTCCATTTCAGAAATAGTCCTGTTATTTCGTCTAAACATTGGCTCGCAAATGGTCCGTTAACTCGCTAATCGTCCTTCATCCGGGACGCGTACTCACGCTCTGAGCCGCCTGGGCCTGCCTTCCCAGCCAGTGTGCCATTGTTTACCAGTGAGCGACGGTCCCCTTACATGCTCCTACGAAATATTTCATAATATTCCATTGATTTTAGTGCTTGCAAGTGCTAAATAAGCTACCATGGTTCCAAAGAAAGCTTCTAGTGCCAGCCCTTTGGTAAAGAATGTAAGAAACATATAATTTATCAACATATAATTTATCAACCACTATCACAACTGCTTCCACTCTACCACCACCACCTTTGTATTTTTACATAAGAACATAAGAAAGGAGGATCACTGCAGCAGGCCTGTTGGCCCATGCTCGGCAGGTTCTTTACAATTCATCTCACTAACGAAACATTTTTCCCAACCCAATCCTCAATGCTACCCAAGAAATAAACTCTGATAACTCTATCCACTCATTTGCAAGTCCCACTCAAATCCAACCCCTCTCACTCATATATTTATCCAACCTAAATTTGAAACTACCCAATGTCCTAGCCTCAATAACCCAACTAGGCAGACTGTTCCACTCATCAACTACCCTATTTCCAAACCAATACTTTCCTATGTCCTTTCTAAATCTAAACTTATCGAATTTAATTTAAATCCATTACTGTCATGTTGAATGTTCATTCTTTTGTGCATGTAAATCTATCTTTTAGGTAAAAAAAAAAAATTGTTGTTGATACTTCTGGGTGTCTGGAACGAATTAATTGGATTTACATTATTTCTTATGGGGAAAATTGATTAGAAAATCGTCCATTTCGATAATAGTCCCACTTTCAGGAACAGATTAAGGACAATAATTGAGGGACCACTGTACTGATAACTGGTACACAAGCCCGATACTCAGTGATTTCTTGCGAGTGAACATGACAGACGTGTGTGGCACAGTGCGCGGTAATCGTAAGCATATGCCAAGGTTCGACGCTGGCACTGGGCGAGGTGAGGTGCAGGCCTTTGCTGCCAATGACATCATGGCATTTCGGTGGCATGACAAACATGTCACATTGTTGACATCAGTTCACCAAAACGAAATGGCACACACTGGCAGCCACAAGAGAGAGACCAATGAACTCATTCTAAAACCTGCAGCTGTGATGGACTACAACATCAATATGCACTTAGTGGACAAATGTGACATGCAGATTGGGTTTGCTGATTGTGTACACAAGAGTTATAAGTGGTATATAAAACTTTTTTTCCATCTTCTTGATATTTTCATGCTAAATGCTTATAACATATACAAGTTGAGGACCAACAACAAACCAAAATAAGGTGAATTTTGTTTGTCAGTCATCAGACAAATAATCGTCAAGTACCAAGAAGCAACACCTGCAATAGACCAGCGCCCACGAAATTACCAACACATGCCATCTCGTTTGAGGCCTGGTGATCACTACCCCATACAACTGCCTCCTACTGCTTTCAAGAAAAGTGCTCAGAAGAGGTGTTTTGTATGTGGACATACCACAAAACGCCTACAAACACGCAGAGACACTCGTTTTATGTGTGAGGAGTGTCAAGTACCACTCTGCATATACCCATGTTTCAAAGAGTTCCACAAGCTGCAGCAGTTCTAGGAAACTGTTCAGTGACTGTACATATGTATATATATTATGGAACAATAGTAATAAACAATGCTTTGTACTGTTTGTGTAAACAAGTTTTATACACAATCTAATAGTGATAATGTTTGTTCAGTTATTGTGTTGTAAACAATGAGTGTATATTTGAACAATGCACCTTACTTTGGTCTCACAGGCCACATAAGTTACTTAGAAAAGAAAAATATTGGAAAATACAAGAAACCTTTGAATTGGAGTAAATAAAAGAATACCGGGTGGGTGGCATTCACCGCTGTTGCCATTCACCGCTCATTTTCTGCCAACTTTGCGCCTCTATATCTCGGTAAGTACTGATGGCAAATTTTTTTTTTAGGTTTAAAACACTCAGTAAAATAATCCTAACATTTGGTAAGAAAAAATAATTTTTTTTTTCAAATATTTTGCGATATATAATGACAATTTCAGAAAGGGACCTACGACAGTCAAAGGGTTAAGGACAACTTAGACAGGTAATGTCTTAAGATTAGTGTATGGAGGATCAAGCAACCAGTGCTCATGACATTGAATAATTCTCACAGATTTACCACTTCAAGTACATCATTGTAATCATCATCCTCATCATAATAATATTCCTTATGCTCAGTTTTATGGTATGAATTCTTGGCTTTAGAAAGTTTTGTCAATAAATAAACCATAATAATTAATTCTTAACAAGAAATGATAATGACATACAAGCATCTCTAAAAGGAGTTAACCCTTAAATGGTCCAAACGTATATATAAGTTTTTTCAACATCTGAAAGTATGTAAAAAAATGTAGATCTTCTTTTTTGTTTTACATTTGAAAATGTGTAAAAAAAAACTTTTATCTACATTTTTTTTTTTGTTATATTTGAAAATATGTAAAAAAAAGTAGATCTACTTTTGTAGCACTACGAATTTGAACATCGATCTCTTTGGACCATTTAAGGGTTAAACTACATCTAAGAGAGATAGTGAAAGCCGCTAACTATATAAACGATCACAATATATCCAGTAAGCATTTACCAGAATTATTCCCGATTGAATAAAAAAAACACACCTTTACCATTAATTTTTCAAAATTTCGCTGACAGGGTTCTACATAACACCTGGCTCCCATCTGCACAAGCAACACTGGGTCCCCGAGAGATTCTGCACCGATGAAGATATCTCCGGACCCATCCATGGACTGGATGAGGGGAAGCTGAACAAAGCCACGATAGTCTGGACCTTTGTCTCGTACACGGGCTGAATAAATCTGAAAGGGTGCAAAACCTTGATGAAGATTGATCTTTAGTATTACAGAACATACTTGTAATTCCCCTACATGCAAATCAATTGTTTCAAGACTAATTTGCATAAATCTTGAATGTAGAAACATAAAATAAATAATTTTCCTTATGAAATATAAGTTATAAATGCTTATCTATAGTATTATCTGTACTTCCTTCCCACATGGAAAAAATTAATCAAGTGTAGGCAATCAGCTTGCATTTATCTTCTTCTAACAAACCAACCATATCCCACTGAGGCAGGGTGGCCCAAAAAATAAAATAAAATATTCTCTTTTTAACCCCTTTGAGGGTTTTTCGTCGTACTAGTACGTTTTACGCGTAGGGGTTTTTGACGTACTAGTACTCATAAATTCTAGCGGCCTCAAATCTAGTGGGAGAAAGCTGGTAGGCCTTCATATGAAAGAATGGGTCTATGTGGTCAGTGTGCACAGTCTAAAAAAAATCCTGCAGCACACAGTGCATAATGAGAAAAAAAAAAACTTTGACCATTTTTTTTTAATAAATCAGCGACTTTGCAGTGTATTTTCGTATGGTATTTATTGTTGTATTCTAGTTTTCTTGGTCTCATTTTATAGAATGGAAGACATATTACAGAAATTGAGATGATTTTGACTGGTTTTACAAAGAAAGGTGCCTTGAAATTGAGCTCAAAGTAGCAGAAATGTTCGATTTTTACCAAACTTCAAAAGTAAACAAATCGTGCCAAGCGTGCAATACACGTCAACTGGTGAGTCTAATATTCTTTCACAAGTGCACCAATAATATTTATACCATTTTTTACACTAATGCAGTAGTCTGCATAACAGTAAATCTTATATTTTTTGTGAAAATAAAAATTCAAAGTGGAAAGCAAAAGAATATAAGAGGGGACTTGAGACATGACTATTGACTAGAGGAAATGTCATTTTAGTGCCAGGAATGTCTTTCTTGTTTATTCTGGACCCTATTCCGAAATTGGCATCTTTTGAAATTTGTGTGAAATTGGCAAAATTGCTAAATTCTGACCACTGTACTAGATAGTTGAATTTCATAAATGAGTGGTTTCTTGCATCCATTCGATAGAAAAAATGGAGTTCTAGCGAAATATTCATGTTTTTTGTCGACTAGTACAGTGAAATTGGCCGAAAATGGGGCTCAAAGTGGGCAAAATCGCCGATGCGTAAACATCGCCGAGACCGCTAACTTTGCGAGAGCATAATTCCGTAAGTTTTCTATCAAATTTCAAACTTTTGGTGTCTTTATGATCGGGAAAAGATTCTCTATCTTTTCATAAGAGAAAATAATTTTTTTTTTTTTTAAATTTGGCCGACCCTGAGAACGAGTTTCGGAGAGGGCCTGTCGACCCTCAAAGGGTTAAATTTAGTAATACAGTGGACCCCAGCTTTACGATCACCTCCCAATGCGACCAATTATGTAAGTGTATTTATGTAGGTGCGTTTGTACGTGTATGTTTGGGGGTCTGAAACGGACTAATCTAATTCACAATATTCCTTATGGGAACAAATTCGTTCAGTACTGGCACCTGAACATACTTCTGGAATGAAATAATATCGTAAACCGCAGGGTCCACTGTATATACCACAGAAGGGGTCACTAGCCCCTCACTCCTAGCATTTTAGTCACCTCTTACGACACACAGCTTACAGGAAAAGAATTCTGTTCCACTTCTCCATGGATTTTGCTTTCATGTCTGTGTATATAAAAAGAATGCATACATATCAGTGTACATAATAACTTACATACATCTTTTCTTCTTTCAACAAACCAGCTGTATCCCACCGAGGCAGAAAGGCACAAAAGGAAAGATGAAAGTTTCTCTTTTTAAATTTAGTAATATATGCAGGAGAAGGGGTCACTAGCCCCTTGCTCCTGGCATTTTAGTCGCCTCTTATAACATGCATGGCTTACAGAGGAAGAATTCTGCTCCGCTTCCCCATGGAGATAAGCGGAAATAAACAAGAACTAGAAGATAGAAGAAAACCCTGAGGGGTATGTATATATATGCTTGTACATGCATGGGTAATGTGACCTAAGTGTAAGTATTAGTAGCAAGATGTACGTACCTGAAATCTTGCATGTTTATGAGATAGAAAAAAGATGCCAGCAATCCTACCATCATGTAAAACAATTACAGGTATCCGTTTCACACTCACTTGGCAGGACAGCAGTACCTCCCTGGATGGCTGCCGTCTACCAACCTACTACCTAGATTTCTTTCTCTTATGTGAGGGTTATTTGTGTATTGTTTCAGTCACGGTATTGTGCCTTTTTGTTCTTTTGACCTCAAGATGTCAACAAACAGAAACTGAAATACTGGTGCATAGTCCTAACTAGTTGCCATAGGATCCAGTGAGACAGACAATGAGAACATGTTTTCAAGGCCCTACCTTAGGGAAGGAGCAGTCCTAGTAGATGATGAATCACAAATAAGTAGCTGATGAGAAAACACTAAGAATATTCAAAATTTCCATGAACATCAGATATATGGCCCATTGGCTAAGGGAATTTTTTAAGGAAGAGAGATGATGAGAGCCAGAAAAGTGGATTTTTTCCCTATTTTCTGTAGCAAAATAAATCATTATACAGGAGGGCCCTGCTTATACAGCAGGTTAGGTTCCAGGTTACTGCTGTAAAGTGAAAATTGCTGTAAAGTGTACCACAGCCATTTTTCACTTTCAAATGAATATAAAAGCCTGATAACATGTTTATCATATAATAAGTGAGCAATATAGTTTGTCCTAAAAAATGCATATACAGAACACACATTACTTACCTTAAAATTTTTTCATCCTTGGCTTATAATGAGTGGTGAATATATTTATTGTAAGAAGCCTGAATAAACGAAGAATGGGTATACAGTGGTAACCTGAGTGTTGTACAGCTCCCAACTCGAACAATTATGTAAGTGTATTATTGTAAGTGCTTTTGCAAGTGTATTTTTGGGGTCTGAAACGGACTAATCTAATTTACATTATTCCTTATGGGAACAAATTCGTTCAGTAACGGCACTCGAACAGCCTTCTGAAATGAATTATGGCCAAAACTCAGGGTACCACTGTAACTGAAAACCATGGTATTAGTGAAATGCTGTAAAGTGAAGCTTCATAAAGCAGGGCCCGCCTGTAAATATCTCATATACAATATAACGTTTCTAGAATAGTAGGTAATAGCGTGCCTCGTTGTGCTCCCGGTTTTCTCGTGTTTTCACGGTCGCTCTTACGTGCTAGAACTTTAATTTGTGTCATCAATCCTATACGATACATCCCTCTAGCGCCTGGAACCAATCTTGGGCGGAAAACATTATATACTGAGTCAAAAAAAGGAGAATTAGTGTGCACTGCGTAGCAGAGTTTACTGCCAGAGGGGAATCATAGGCCTGTGTCCCGTGTGGAAAAAAATAATAATAATTGAACTTTTCATGTCAGAGGAAAGAAAGTCTCCCTGAAAGCATTGAGTATACATAGTGTATAGTGTATACTACAGTGGCTCCCTAGTATATTGTGATAAAGGCTAAAAGTGTCAATTGAAAACAGGTGAATTTGTAAATGAAGTGATAAGCCTATTGAGGCAGGTGCCAGAAGTCGCCAGAAACTTACCACAGGTCAGCTGTTTTTAATAATCTTCCTGGCCTGCTAGTGTACTCGCATATAATCTAGTGATAGCAGTGAATAGCAAAATACAGTGTTGTAGTACAACAAACCAGTATTTAAGGGTATTTTGTGAATGGAGTGTTTTTCCCATTAGTTTTCTTTTTCTTGAAATCCCAGACGTTACGTAAATTTATTAACCTGTATTTTACCAGCGGTCGCAAAATACACAACGGAACAATTATTATACAGAAAAAAGCCCCTTCCCCCAAAAATTTGCACCATAAAACTATAGTGAAAATAGCTTTATTGTGGGGGAGAGGAAAAAAAAAAAAGAGAAGCTAGATACACGATTGAAAAAAAAAAAGGGGGGAGGCTCGACCGTTCTCTTGTGGGAGTGCCAGCAGCACCCTCTTCAAAAAGCAAGATACTTTTGTATCAATCAAATCAATTTACTCGGGTAATAATTTCCCAGTAGTCCTTCATGTGTTACCCAAAATCACCGACCATAGGGTTTTAAATAATGACCCACGATCAATCAGATAGACTGGTCCGAACCCTTTGACGGTCCAACCCTGGACTGGTTTCAAAGGGTTTTTTTGTGCCCACCTAGCAGGTTTTTTAATAGAATTTAAAGGGGTTGCTAGTAAATTGCGTAAATAAACCTTTCAAATCATTTAGCGTGTGTAGTCTGTGGTCAGTCAAAAAAAGGGGTTTCCCAGCAAAATTTTCATTTCTGTGGGAAAATTGGGTCAGCCCCTTGTGCAGATATCCAAGAACTAGCTACAAGCAGTATTAAAACGGGAAGTTTTTTTGGGAAAAGCCCAAAAAGAATAAATCTTGGGCTAAAAATCAAAGGGGATTAAAAGAGGTCAACACAAAGCTTTTCATAGAAAACCCGGAAGTTTTTACAACAGATGGGGGAAAATAAAAATCCCCGGGGTGAAAGGGACTTTTCCCCTTTTTCCTGGCCATGATCAGAAACTGTAAGGCTGGAGATAGTCCTGGTAGTCATAAAGGGGGGGTGATAGGCTGTCCTGGGAGACATAAGGGTAAAGCGGAGGTCTGTCCTGGGAGACATAACGGGAAGCGGAGATGTGTCCAGGAGACTAAGGGGGGAAGCGGAATGCTGTCCGGGGAGAAGTAATTTGAAGCGGGATTTTGTCCGGGTAGTGGGGAATTATACCAGGAAGGAATACATATGAATACCGCATGGGGGACAGGACCCATAGTGGAAACAATTTAGTCAAAGATAAGAAAAACCCAAATATTGCAAACTAAAATACCGCAGGAAATGCAAACAAGAGACTCCACTACAATAGTGAAAATTTTCCAAAAACAAATGTGGGAGCTCCATTGTTGGTGCTAGGGGGGAT